TCAAAGTCACTAAACCTGCAAGCTCTGCTCTCCACACACCCCCCTTCCCTCACCCTTTTCCATTTCCTCATCATCATCTCCATCCATGGCAGTCTTCTGCCTATCGTAACTGCAGAGTAACTAATGAAGAGTAAGTAATTAGCGAACAATAAAGGGAGGCTGCTATGGGGACCTGAAGTATTTCAGCATGGACGGGTGTCTGTGTGCGTATTTTAGCTCAAAGTTACTGGACTGCTGGAACTGCTGGCAGTGAAACAGTGGTCCCTGTTACGCAGATCAGACATAGGGGGCTATAATGGTCTGATTTTAAAATCCACTTATTCTACTCTTCCAGCTTCACAGCAATTGCTCAGATCTGTGTGTAAACCGAAGCCCCCATCTGATCAGCACTACGTTCTCATGCTCTCTGACCTTCTCGGTAGGTGGTAATTCGGTTGGTACCCTCTCCCGTGACACCCTGTCAAGCCCTCTCCTGCCCTCACAGCTGACAGCCTTCCCCTCCCTGCGCCGTGACTGGGAATTGCCTTTCCTTCCTCCTTCCACAGCCGCTGTGGCCCTGTTCTGCTGCTCTCCCCCACACCCCGCACTGGACGAGCTGACTCTCCCTGTGCAGACTCCTGGACCACAGCTTTGCTGTGCTTTCCCCTGCTAACCCCCAGCTCTGCTCTCCGCTGTGCTCCTGCATCCCACCTTTTGACCTGTGCTTTGTGAGCAGGAGTGCCACTCTCCTCCTCCGCCTTTGTGTTCCCATGCTACGTGTGCCCCAGCAGGGCAGGGGGGCACTCGGTGGTATGGGGGCTCCTCTGATGCAGCATCCACTGCCGCGTCCCTTTCTTTCCATCTCAGTAGGTCGACCGAGGAAACTCTGACCAAGGAGCAAATGATGTGTGGTGGTAGCAGCACATGCAAAATAACCTCTGTACTTTCTGCGTTTGTTCTCGTAGGTTTTGAAAAGGAAGTTACCCTCTATATATAGCCAGTAGGAAAATCTTGCCTCACAGCAATTTGAAGATGTGTTTTACCTGATGTGTTATGTGCAAACAGCTGCATTTTAAACGTGGGCCTTTCTAAAGCTCAGTGGTAGACTGAAGGATTTGTACTGTTTCAAAGTGAACGGTTCTGGTACCTTCCAGCCATACCAGTACAATATATTCTTGACACAGATGCCCGTTTCTTTTTCCAGTCCCTGGACATGCGGTTTTATTGTAGCTCTGTGCTTCCTTAGTGGAATTAAGAAGCAGGGTTTAGTAGCTCTGAGGCAGGAAATTCTGTATTTTCACAGCTCTAAGGATTTCATATTGTTTGATCTCAATAATACCTGAACTCCTGCAGCAAACGAGCCTGGGGGAACACTTCAAATGATTACAAGACAAAAAGCCTAGGTAAGTTTAGGCTACTTCTGGTAAAACAAACATGGGAGAGAATGGAGGCAGAGGAAAAGCTGGCCACAGCTCTGAGTCTTTAGGGAGCGGTGAACAGATTTTTATACAGTTGAACTCCATGGGCCATACTCAGGTCTGGTAAATACTGTCCAGCCTACACCTGGGCTTGTAGTAGCCACACTACTACTCTAATCACTTTTGAACAGTTCTATTGATTGATTTTGTTTTCTACTGCATTTTAGTCTACTTCAGTAAGGGATTTGATCAGCTGTTGTGGCTGTACTTGCTTTTCACCCTCTGTTCTACTAGCAAGCCTGCTGTGGTAGAACTGTGGTACAGCCCAGATTGGAAGGGACCTGGGAAGATCATCTGGTCCTACCTTTTGTGGGAACAGGAGCCCAGAGGAGGTGTAGTCCCCACCACTGCAAGGCAGTCAACAGGAACTGCAGATGGCTAAAAAGCTGCTGCTGACAGGAGTAGGAGAGTTCAAGGCCAGGGTTCCTGAAAATGGAAATGCTCTCAGAGGGAGAGGTCACAAGATCCTCTTTTCTTTTTATATAAAACTGAAATGTAAAACCCAGCACTTCTATATTTTGGGTTTAGGTGTCACTGTAAGTAGCAACTGGTGGTGCAGTCTGCAGCTTTTATTCTCAAGAGACTCCACGTTGCTTCCCAGCTGCCTTCCTTTGGTTTCTCCTTCTGTGGAGATACAGCCAGAGATTGGGCAATTACAATTTCTTTTTTTTTTTTTGCAAAGCATATGTTAGGTATATTCAACAGGGATAATATTTCTGTGTTCCAAGACAAGCGTGGTTTCTGTGGTAAAGCAAAGTCTATGAATAGAAGTAAGTGTCTGGACATGTTTAAAATTGGGTCTTGGTGAGACACTGAAATAACGGCCCACAGAAGTTTTCAGTTCTGTCCAGTGTAAGACAACACAGATGACACTCACCACCACGGGAATCTTTCCAGGTACTGTGCCAGGCTTTGGTTACACACTGTGTGACCACTGATAACTTCTCGCTTTGTTGTTGCTGCTGGAGTTCATGCAAAGTCGCTTACCTTCTCCATCGCATTCAGATACTGCACCTTTCCGTTGCTCTTGAAAGACTCGGGGACTAAGCCCGTTAACGCGAGGACGTGAGGAACAAGGTCCTGTCGAGGGAAGCGGGGCTCCGCGGTTCCGCAGGAGCCCGGCAGGGCGCGGTGGCCCCACCAGGTGGCGGTCGGTGGCCGCCAAATGCTGCGGGAAGCGGCGACCGGGAGCTTCGCCCGCTCCGGGCCCGCGACCTGCGGGTGCTGCGCCACCCCCGGGAGGGTCACTGCACGGCGTGGGGGAGGAGGACAAACACAGCTGCCGCTGCGAGGAAGGGAGCGTGAAAGAGCGGCGTGAACAGCGATGCCAGCTAACCCCGAGGCGCAGGGAAGGAAAACTGCACGTCTTTATCATTTCATGATGCCAGAGCTCAAAGAAGCTGAAAGGCCATAATCATTTAAAACCATTTAAATTGTTGGGGCATACACTATTTGCTTACAGACACCGGGGAAGAATGTCCTTACATTCATCACTATGTATCTATAAAACTTGTCCTCTAGTGGTGAGTATTCTCTATACAACCTTTCCTTCTGTAAATGGACTGTGTAATTGCTCAGCTCTGAATTCAGACCGAAGAGTTCCTTACTTGAGAAAAATAAAATACTTCATCTTATTTCAGTCACTTAGCTTTTCCCCTGGAATGTAAAGAATTTTATAAGGAAAAGTCATTATTCATTGGGTTTTCAGCTGTAGGATGTTTTACAAATGTCCCGTGCTGCTGCTGGAAGGGGTGATCCCAGCGGCTCCCACACGCCTGTCCTCTGTGGGCATCGTGGCTGCTGACCGTGCTGCTGCATGGCAGGGAGGGAGAGAAGAGGCTGGCAGCGGCAGGGCTCACCCTTCAGCAG